TACCGTCATTGTTGCGGTCCAGGCTGTGGAACATGAGCAGCAGCTTGCGCTCTCGCTCCTGCAGGTAGCGCGCAAACTCCTCAAAGTCCAGCTCGCCATCCTGGTCCGTGTCGCCCTCACGCAGGATCTCCTGGCATGGGGGGGGGACCACTGCTGTGAGGAAGGGCCAGTCCGCCCCCTCCCTTCCGCACCTGCTACCCCGACAGCCCACTTCCACTGCTGAGAGAGACTGGGAGCCAGGACACCTGGATTCCACCCCCGCCTCTGCGAGGGGAGTGAGGTCTAGTGGTTAGAGCAGAGGGCAGATGGCATCTGTGGATGGCACTGTGGATTGGGGGGGTAAGAGGGTGGGTATCCCCTGTGGAAATATCTGATTGGTTGCATGTGTTACTCTGAGAGAGAGCTGGTCGGCAGGAGGGTAGTTGTGCAAACAGCTAGTGTGCAAGGGTGCATGTGAGCCATGGGTGTGCAAGAGTGCTTGTGCAAGCATCCATAGAGCAGAGTTCGCAGCACAGATTCCCAGGCACTTGGATGCCAACTGCCCCCCTCGCCCCAACTGGGCGTTACCCACCCTTGGGAGCTCCAGACAGCCAATGGGGGCAGGAGCAGGAGGCCGGACCAGGGCTGTGCTGGAAAAGCCAAGGCCGTGTGCTCAGGGAACATCTCCCCACCCCCGCCGCCTCCCCCTGACAATGACAGAGCTGTGATGTATCGTGATCTGATCTGAGGTTGCCTCACACACCCGGCCTCTGAGCAACCCCCGTGGGAAGCTGAGTGTCAGGGCGCAAGTCTCCACCACCATACAAAACCTCACTCTACAAAATGCCCGGAGACCAGGGGAAACTGAGGCACAAAGGGGGGGGGCCTTGCCCCTCAATTAGAACCCAGGAGTCCTGACTTCCAAGCACCCCAGCTCTAGCCAGTGGTCCTGACCCAGTCCTATGCTCTAACCACTGCTGCCCATTGCCAAGGCCTCCAGAACTGGGTTAGGTTTGGATCTAGGTTCCACCAGGCCTTAACTTCTAGTGGGGTTGGGAGACTCTGTCCTCCTCACCCTCCCACTGGGCCCTTGTGGTGGGGCAGGGGGCCACGCCCCCCGCCAGCCTCTCTGGCTTTGCCACGTGTCTCATTATTAGGGCCTGGTTCAGGCCTGGCTCAGGCCCCGCTATTTTCAGCCTGTTCTGTTTACATTCCACATGCCGGTCCGGCTCATTCGCACATCCCAGATGCTCATGTGAGAGGCTGAGAAGGAGACAGGGAAGTGGGGGTGGATATGAGGGCGCATCGGGGGCACTTGTTCTATGAGACGTTTCCAGGCGCAGGCTGGAAAACAGGTACTCGAGGGCTTGGAGTAAGGACTCCTGGGTTCTGTCCCCAGCTTTGTGAGGGAAGTAGGAGTTAGTGGTTAGAGCAAGTGGCTGGGCATCAGGACTCCTGGGTTCTTTCCCCAGCTTAGAGAGGGGAGTGGGAGCTAGTGGTTAGAGCAAGTGGCTGGGCGCCTTTGTGAGGGGAGTAGGGGCTAGTGGTTAGAGCCAGAAGCTGGGCATCAGGACTCCTGGGTTCAACTTCCAGCTTTGAGATGGGAGTAGAGTCTAGCGGCTAGAGCCGGACTCCTGGGTCCTGCCATAAGCCCAGGGAAAGGGGCGGGGGATGGGAGTCAGGAGACCTGGGTTCAATTTCTGTCACTACCCCTAACCCGCTGCGTGGCTTTGGCAGAACGGTCTTTGGGCCTGCAGTGCGAGAGAGCAGGGCTTGGGGGCAGGCGATGGACTGGGGCATGGGGGGTCCGGCGGATCCCTTCCTTCCCCAACCTCGGCGGTTCTGTGATAAGAGGCCACAAGCAACGGGCTAAAAATAAGGCTGGAGACATGAGCAGTCGCCTATTTATACCTCCCCGTGCTTGTTTGTATGTTTCATTCTGCACCCCCCACACTTCCCCCGGCTCTCGGCTTGCTGCCCTCCCTGGGGTCCTGCCAAAACAATTGGCCTGGTGGGTGGAACTGGGGGTACAGAATAGACTCAGCCCACCAGAGAGTCAATCCAATCTGGGGATGTCCTCCCAGCCACTGCTCACGGCCCCCCCCCGCTGCAGGTTGGGCTTGGCAGATTGTGCCGGCTAGCAGCACAGAGGTGTACTCACGAGGGCACGTGAGCAGACGTGCACTTGTTTGTGAATGTGCATACGCATTCACGGGGGGCGCACACACACGTGATCACACAGGGACCTGTGAGCAGATGCACGCTTGTTTGGGAACGGAACGGTGCGCACACATTCCCAGGGTGCATGCACAAGAGAGCAGAGGCACACTCGTTTGTGAATGGGATGTGCACACACTTTCACGGGGTACACAAACATGAGACCACACGGGGCCACGAGAGCAGATGCACACTTGTTTGTGAATGGGATTGTACATACACATTCGTGGGGGGCTAGCGTACGACTAGCAAGGAGACTGGGAGGCCTCCAGGACTCCTGGGTTACTCTCCCACCTTTGGGAAGGGAGGAGACAGGACGCCAGGACTCCTGGATGTGCCTGTCCACACACAAGTGAGTGTGGGGCTCACGTCCCCCCATGGAGACACCTGTGGCTGTGCCTAGATTCCCAAACAGATGTGTGGGCGCTCACATGCCCCATGCGTGTTCGCATGTCGGTGCGTGCTATCATGCATGTGCTCACCTGCAAGCCTACGTGTGCTCATGGCCCCCACATGATTTGGGGTGTGCGCACCCTTCTGTGTGCACCCTCAACCAAGCATGTCCGTGCTTGGGTACCAGTGGGGGGGGGGGGATACCAGGGGGGGGGGGATCCACCTTCCCACTCACTGAGCACCAGAGGACTCTGACAGCTCCTTGTCCTTGGCACAGGGCACAATTAGGGATCAAAGTCTTAGGGAGTGGGGAGAGAGGATCCCCCTGTGGCGCCCCAGGACCCCACTGCCCAGCCACACCTGGAGCCAGTGGCACGCAGAGGCCAAAGCAACCTCGCCCAGCCCGATGGCTGCTGCTGAGAGGCACTGAGTTCCCCTGAATATTGCTGGGGGACAGAGGGTGCGGATCCTGCCTCACCCCTTCCCAGGAATGGGGCCAGGGGGAGGGGAGTAGCTCCCAGCGTCACTGCCCATTGCCAGCTCTGCCCCTTGCTCCTGCTGCCCAGTGCCTCCCAGCCCCACACTGGAGAGCCAGCAGTTCCCAGGCAGAAAGCAGTGGGGTCCAGCAGGGGGGCACTGGGAGCCAGGACTCCTGGGTTCTATTCCCAGTTTAGGGTGGGGAATGGGGGCTGGGAGCCAGAACTCCTGGGTTCTCGCCCCAGCTCTGGCTGGGGAATGGGGAGGGGCTGGGAGTCAAGGTCTAGACCCAGCTCTGCCACGGATTCACTGTGCGACCCTGTGCAAGTCCCTTACTCCTTGCCTCAGTTTCCCCACT